CAGTGTTCTTGGGGACTGTCTTGAGATGCATTAAGCAAGTCGAAGCTCCTGACTTGTTTGATGGGGATCACGGAATTGCTCTGCATGCACTGCAGGGGAATCGGGCCTCATCTCGCATCTAGGGGGAAGTCTCATGGTTTTTCTCGAGTTACGGCCGGGATATGCGGTATGTTCTCGAGTTAGGGCGGGGATGGCCCTTCAAAACACATGTTTATTCAGTGACGTTAGGACTCCTGTCTAGTAACGTGGGACACCTCAGGAATCTCTTCGAGACTTGGCAGGGCACAAGGGACTTTTCTCGAAGTGAGGAAGTGCACCCAAGGACCCTTTCCAGTAGCCACAGAGATTTTGGGTTTTCTACCAATATTCACGATGAGTCAGGCTACGTTACCTTTTGAAGCAGTGAAATACGCGTGCCTCTCGAGGTGTCAACGGGATGTGAGGCATTCCGTCATAATGGCCAGGGACCTAGGGCTTTCTCTAAGGTCTCCACAGGGGATTCAGACATCCTTTCATGTTGGGAGATGAAAGACGAGCCTGTATTCAAGCCACTGCAAGGAAACCCGGCCTCCTTTCAAGTTAGGGCTTCTCGCTGTATATCCCACTTGAGGCAGGAAAATCGGGGCCCCTCCCACATACATATTGCTGAGAGAAGCCTCCCCTTCAAGTGCTTCCGGATAGTTGGCATATGTCTTGACCCAAACCCATGGAATCAGCTCTCATCTCGAGATGATTTGGGGTACACAGAGCATTCGTCGAGATGCTGTGCTGAAGTTGGTGTTCCTCTAGACGTGAGACAGTGTTCTCGGGGCATCTCTGGAGGTGCCTGAAGGAACTCAAGCCACTGGTCGTGTTTAATGGGGAACAGCGGATGGCTCTGGAGTCAATGCAGTGGAATCGGGCCTCACCTCGAGTTGATTTGTGGCACATGGAGCTGCTTTGCGTTGTAGGGGTGACCTCAGGGTGCTTCTAGACTTGTGACAGTGTTCTTGGGGACTGTCTCGAGATCCATTAAGCAAGTCGAAGCTCCTGACTTGTTTGATGGGGATCACAGAATTGCTCTGCATGCACTCCAGGGGAATCGGGCCTCATGTCACATCTAGTGGGAAGTCTCATGGTTTTTCTCGAGTTGCGGCGGGGATGGCCTTTCAAAACACGTGTTTATTCAGTGACGTCAGGACTCCTGTCTAGTAACGTGGGACTGCTCAGGAATCTCTTCGAAGCTTGGCAGGGCCCAAGGGACGCTTCTGGAAGTGAGGAAGGGCACCCAAGGACCCTTTCCAGTAGCCACAGGGATTTTTGGATTCCTATCAATATTCAAGAGGAGCCAGGCATCGTCACCTTTTGAAGAAGTGAACTTTGCGTGCCTCTCGAGGTGTCAACTTGATGTGCGGCATTCCGTCATAATGACCCAGGGACCTAGGGCTTTCTGTAAGGTCTCCACAGGGGATTCAGACATCCCTTCATGTTGGGAGATGAAAGACGAGCTGTATTCAAGCCACTGCAAGGAAACCCGGCCTCCTTTCAAGTTAGGGCTTCTCGCTGTATATCCCACTTGAGACAGCAAAATCGGGGTCCCTACCACATACCTATTGCTTAAAGAAGCCTCCCGTTGAGGTGCTTCTCGAAAGTTGGCATAGGTCTTGAGCCTAAACCAGGGAATCAGCTCTCATCTCGAGATGATTTGGGGTACAAGGAGCATTCCTCGAGTTGCTGTGCTGAAGTTGGTGTTCCTCTAGACTTTGGACAATGTTCTCGGGGCATGTCTGGAGGTGCCTGAAGGAAGTCAAGACACTGGTCACGTTTCATGGGGAACGGGGGATGGCTCTGGAGTCAAAACAGAAGAATCGGGCCTCATCACGTGTTGATTTGGCGCACATGGAGATGCTTTGCGTTGCAGGGGTGACCTCAGGGTCCATCTAGACTTGTGACAGTGTTCTTGGGGACTCTCTCGAGATCCATTAAGCAAGTCGAAGCTCCTGACTTGTTTGATGGGGATCACAGAATTGTGCTGCATGCACTGCATTGGAATCGGGCCTCATCTCGCATCTAAGGGGAAGTCTCATGGTTTTTCTCGAGTTGCGGCAGGGATATGCGGTATGTTCTCGAGTTAGGGCAGGGATGGCCCTTCAAAACACATGTTTATTCACTGACGTCAGGACTCCTGTCTAATAAATTGGGACTCCTCAGGAATCTCTTCGAGGCTTGGCAGGGCACAACGGATGCTTCTCGAGGTGAGGAAGGGCACCCAAGGACCTTTTCCAGTAGCCACAGGGATTTTGGGATTCCTATCAATATTTAAGAGGAGTCAGGCATCGTCACCTTTTGAAGTAGTGAAGTCTGTGTGCCTCTCCAGTTGTCAACGTGATGTGAGGCTTTCCGTCAAAATGAGGCAGGGACTAGGGCTTTCTCTAAGTTCTCCACAGGGGATTCAGACATACCTTCATGTTGGGAGATGAAAGACGAGCCTGTATTCAAGCCACTGCAAGGAAACCCGGCCTTCTTTCAAGTTAGGGCTTCTCACTGTATATCCCACTTGTGGCAGCAAACTCGGGGCCCCTCCCACATACCTATTGCTGAGAGAAGCCTCCCCTTGAGGTGCTTCCAGAAAGTTGGCATAGGTCTTGACCCAAAGCCACGGAATCAGCTCTCATCTCGAGATGATTTGGGGTACACGGAGCATTCCTCGAGTTGCTCTGCTGAAGTTGGTATTCCTCTAGACTTGGGACAGTGTTCTCGGGGCATCTCTGGAGTTGCCTGAAGGAAATCAAGCCACTGGTCGTGTTTAATGGGGAACGGGGGATGACTCTGGAGTCAACGCAGGGGAATCGGGCCTCATCTCGAGTTGATTTGGGGCTCATGGAGCTGCTTTGCGTTGCACGGGTGACCTCAGGGTCCGTCTAGACTTCTGACAGTGTTCTTGGGGACTGTCTCGAGATCCATTAAGCAAGTCGAAGCTCCTGACTTGTTTGATGGGGATCACGGAATAGCACTGCATGCACTGCAGGGGAATCCGGCCTCATCTCGCATCTAGGTGGAAGTCTCATGGTTTTTCTCGAGTTGCGGCGGGGATCTGAGGTATGTTCTCGAGTTAGGGTAGGGATGGCCCTTCAAAACACATGTTTATTCAGTGACGTCAGGACTCCTGTCTAGTAACGTGGGACTCCTCAGGAATATCTTCGAAGCTTGGCAGGGCACAGGGGACGCTTCTCGAGGTGAGGCAGGACACTCAAGGACCCTTTCCAGTAGCCACAGGGATTTTTGGATTCCTATCAATATTCAAGAGGAGCCAGGCATCGTCACTTTTTGAAACAGTGAACTTTGTGTGCCTCTCGAGTTGTCAACTTCATGTGAGGCATTCCGTCATAATGAGGCAGTGACCTAGTCTTTCTCTAAGGTCTCCACAGGGGATTCAGACATCCTTTCATATTGGGAGATGAAAGACGAGCCTGTATTCAAGCCACTGCAAGGAAACCCGGCCTCCTTTCAAGTTAGGGTTTCTCGCTCTATATCCCACATGAGGCAGCAAACTCGGGGTCCCTACCACATACCTATTGCTGAAAGAAGCCTCCCCTTGAGGTGCTTCTGGAAAGTTGGCATACGTCTTGAGCCTAAGCCAGGGAATCAGCTCTCAATCCGAGATATTTTGTGGTACACGGAGCATTCCTCGAGTTGCTGTGCTGAAGTTGGTGTGCCTCTAGACTTGGGACAGTGTTCTCGGGACATGTCTGGAGGTGCCTGAAAGAAGTCAAGCCACTGGTCGTGTTTAATGGGGAACGGCGGATGGCTCTGGAGTCAATGCAGTGGAATCGGGCCTCACCTCGATTTGATTTGTGGCACATGGAACTACTTTGCGTTGCTGTGGTAACCTCAGGGTCCGTCTAGACTTGTGACAGTGTTCTTGGGGACTGTCTCGAGATCCATTAAGCAATTCGAATCTCCTGACTTGTTTGATGGGGATCACGGAATTGCTCTGCATGCACTGCAGGGGAATCGGGCCTCATCTCGCATCTACGGGGATGTCTCATGGTTTTTCTCGACTTGCGGCGGGGATATGCGGTATGTTCTCGAGTTACAGCGGGCATGGCTCTTCAAAGCACATGTTTATTCAGTAACGTCAGGACTCCCGTCTAGTAAGGTGGGACACCTCAGGAATCTCTTCGAAGCTTGGCAGGGCACAAGGGACGCTTCTGGAAGTGAGGAAGGGCACCCAAGGACCCTTTCCAGTAGCCACAGTGATTTTGGGATTTCTACCAATATTCACGATGAGTCAGGCTACGTTTCCTTTTGAAGCAGTGAAATCCACGTGCCTCTCGAGGTGTCAACGGGATGTGAGGCATTCCTTCATAATGGCCAGGGACCTAAGGCTTTCTCTAAGGTCTCCACAGGGGATTCAGACATCCCTTCAGGTTGGGAGATGAAAGACGAGCCTGTATTCAAGCCACTGCAAGGAAACCCGGCCTACTTTCAAGTTAGGGCTTCTCGCTGTATATCCCACTTGAGGCAGGAAACTCGGGGCCCCTCCCACATACATATTGCTGAGAGAAGCCTCCCCTTGAGGTGCTTCCGGAAAGTTGGCATACGTCTTGACCCAAAGCCACGGAATCAGCTCTCATCTCGAGATGATTTGGGGTACACGGAGCATTCCTCGAGTTGCTGTGCTGAAGTTGGTGTGCCTCTAGACTTGGGACAGTGTTCTCGGGACATGTCTGGAGGTGCCTGAAAGAAGTCAAGCCACTGGTCGTGTTTAATGGGGAACGGCGGATGGCTCTGGAGTCAATGCAGTGGAATCGGGCCTCACCTCGATTTGATTTGTGGCACATGGAACTACTTTGCGTTGCTGTGGTAACCTCAGGGTCCGTCTAGACTTGTGACAGTGTTCTTGGGGACTGTCTCGAGATCCATTAAGCAATTCGAATCTCCTGACTTGTTTGATGGGGATCACGGAATTGCTCTGCATGCACTGCAGGGGAATCGGGCCTCATCTCGCATCTACGGGGATGTCTCATGGTTTTTCTCGACTTGCGGCGGGGATATGCGGTATGTTCTCGAGTTACAGCGGGCATGGCTCTTCAAAGCACATGTTTATTCAGTAACGTCAGGACTCCCGTCTAGTAAGGTGGGACACCTCAGGAATCTCTTCGAAGCTTGGCAGGGCACAAGGGACGCTTCTGGAAGTGAGGAAGGGCACCCAAGGACCCTTTCCAGTAGCCACAGTGATTTTGGGATTTCTACCAATATTCACGATGAGTCAGGCTACGTTTCCTTTTGAAGCAGTGAAATCCGCGTGCCTCTCGAGGTGTCAACGGGATGTGAGGCATTCCTTCATAATGGCCAGGGACCTAAGGCTTTCTCTAAGGTCTCCACAGGGGATTCAGACATCCCTTCAGGTTGGGAGATGAAAGACGAGCCTGTATTCAAGCCACTGCAAGGAAACCCGGCCTACTTTCAAGTTAGGGCTTCTCGCTGTATATCCCACTTGAGGCAGGAAACTCGGGGCCCCTCCCACATACATATTGCTGAGAGAAGCCTCCCCTTGAGGTGCTTCCGGAAAGTTGGCATACGTCTTGACCCAAAGCCACGGAATCAGCTCTCATCTCGAGATGATTTGGGGTACACGGAGCATTCGTCGAGTTGCTGTGCTGAAGTTGGTGTTCCTCTCGACTTGGGACAGTGTTCTCGGGGCATCTCTGGAGGTGCCTGAAGGAAGTCAAGCCACTGGTCGTGTTTAATGGGGAACGGCGGATGGCTCTGGGGTCAATGCAGTGGAATCGGGCCTCACCTCGAGTTGATTTGTGGCACATGGAGATGCTTTGCGTTGAAGGGGTGAAATCAGGGTGCGTCTAGACTTGTGACAGTGTTCTTGGGGACTGTCTCGAGATCCATTAAGCAAGTCGAAGCTCCTGACTTGTTTGATGGGGATCACGGAATTGCTCTTCATGCACTGCAGGGGAATCGGGCCTTATGTCACATCTAGGGGGAAGTCTCATGGTTTTTCTCGAGTTGCGGTTGGGATATGCGGTATGTTCTCGAGTTACGGCTTGGATGGCCTTTCAAAACACGTGTTTATTCAGTGACGTCAGGACTCCTGTCTAGTAACGTGGGACTGCTCAGGAATCTCTTCGAAGCTTGGCAGGGCACAAGGGACGCTTCTGGAAGTGAGGAAGGGCACCCAAGGACCCTTTCCAGTAGCCACAGGGATTTTGGGATTCCTATCAATATTCAAGAGGAGCCAGGAATCGTCACCTTTTGAAGAAGTGAACTTTGCGTGCCTCTCGAGGTGTCAACGGGATGTGAGGCATTCCGTCATAATGAGACTGGGACCTAGGGCTTTCTGTAAGGCCTCCACAGGGGATTCAGACATCCCTTCATGTTGGGAGATTCAAGACGAGCCTGTATTCAAGCCACTTCAAGGAAACCCGGCCTCCTTTCAAGTTAGGGCTTCACGCTGTATATCTCACTTGAGGCAGCAAACTCGGGGTCCCTACCACATACCTTTTGCTTAAAGAAGCCTCCCCTTGAGGTGCTTCTGGAAAGTTGGCATACGTCTTGAGCCTAAGCCAGTGAATCAGCTCTGAACTCGAGACGATTTGGGGTACATGGAGCATTCTTCGAGTTGCTGTGCTGAAGTTGCTGTTCCTCTAGACTTGGGACAGTGTTCTCGGGGCATCTCTGGAGTTGCCTGAAGGAAGTCAAGCCACTGGTCGTGTTTAATGCGGAACGGCGGATGGCTCTGGAGTCAACGCAGGGGAATCGGGCCTCATCTCGAGTTGATTTGGGGCACATGGAGCTGCTTTGCGTTGCAGGGGTGACCTCAGGGTCTGTCTAGACTTGTGACAGTGTTCTTGGGGACTGTCTCGAGATCCATTAAGCAAGTCGAAGCTCCTGACTACTTTGATGGGGATCACGGAATTGCTCTGCGTGCACTGCAGGGGAATCGGGCCTCGTCTCACATCTAGTGGGAAGACTCAGGGTTTTCCTCGATTTGCAGCGGGGACCTGCAGTATGTTCTCGAGTTACGGTGGGGATTGCCCTTCAAAAGTCGTATTTATTCAGTGACGTCACGACTCCTGTCTAGTAATGAGGGACATCTCAGTAATCTCTTTGAGTAATGGCAGGGCACGAGGGACACTTCTCGAGGTGACGCAGTGCACCCATGGACCCTTTCCAGTAGCCACAGGGATTCTGGGATTCCTATCAATATTCTAGTGGAGTCAGGCTACGTTACCTTTTGAAGCAGTGAACTCCGCGTGCCTCTCGAGGTGTCAACGGGATGTGAGGCATTCCGTCATAATGAGGCAGGGACCTAGGGCTTTCTCTAAGGTCTGCACAGGGGATTCAGACATCCCTTCATGTGGGGAGATGCAAGACGTGCTCTATTCAAGCCACTGCAATGAAACCCGGCCTCCTTTCAAGTTAGGGCTTCTCGCTGTATATCCCACTTGAGGCAGCAAACTCGGGGTCCCTACCACATACTTATTGCTTAAAGAAACCTCCCCTTGACGTGCTTCTGGAAAGTTGGCATACGTCTTGAGCCTAAGCCAGGGAATCAGCTCTCATCTCGAGACGATTTGGGGTACATGGAGCATTCCTCGAGTTGCTGTGCTGAAGTTGGTGTTCCTCTAGACTTGGGACAGTGTTCTCGGGGCATCTCTGGAGTTGCCTGAAGGAAATCAAGCCACTGGTCGTGTTTAATGGGGAACGGGGGATGGCTCTCGAATCAACGCAGGGGAATCAGGCCTCATCTCGATTTGATTTGATGCACATGGAGCTGCTTTGCGTTGCAGGGGTGACATCAGGGTGCATCTAGACTTGTGACAGTGTTCTTGGGGACTGTCTCGAGATGCATTAAGCAAGTCGAAGCTCCAAACTTGTTTGATGGGGATCACAGAATTGCTCTGCATGCACTGCAGGGGAATCGGGCCTCAATTCTCATCTATGGGGAAGTCTCATGGTTTTTCTCGAGTTACGGCCGGGATATGCGGTATGTTCTCGAGTTAGGGCGGGGATGGCCCTTCAAAACACATGTTTATTCAGTGACGTTAGGACTCCTGTCTAGTAACGTGGGACACCTCAGGAATCTCTTCGAGACTTGGCAGGGTACAAGGGACTCTTCTCGAAGTGAGGAAGTGCACCCAAGGACCCTTTCCAGTAGCCACAGAGATTTTGGGATTTCTACCAATATTCACGATGAGTCAGGCTACGTTACCTTTTGAAGCAGTGAAATCCGCGTGCCTCTCGAGGTGTCAACGGGATGTGAGGCATTCCGTCATAATGGCCAGGGACCTAGGGCTTTCTCTAAGGTCTCCACAGGGGATTCAGACATCCCTTCATGTTGGGAGATGAAAGACGAGCCTGTATTCAAGCCACTGCAAGGAAACCCGGCCTCCTTTCAAGTTAGGGCTTCTCGCTGTATATCCCACTTGAGGCAACAAACTCGGGGCCCCTCCCACATACATATTGCTGAGAGAAGCCTCCCCTTGAGGTGCTTCTGGAAAGTTGGCATACGTCTTGACCCAAAGCCACGGAATCAGCTCTCATCTCGAGATGATTTGGGGTACACGGAGCATTCGTCCAGTTGCTGTGCTGAAGTTGGTGTTCCTCTATACTTAGGACAGTGTTCTCGGGGCATCTCTGGAGGTGCCTGAAGGAAGTCAAGCCACTGGTCGTGTTTAATGGGGAACGGCGGATGGGCATGGAGTCAATGCAGTGGAATCGGGCCTCACCTCGAGTTGATTTGTGGCACATGGAGCTGCTTTGCGTTGCAGGGGTGGCCTCAGGGTGCGTCTAGACTTGTGACAGTGTTCTTGGGGACTGTCTCGAGATCCATTAAGCAAGTCGAAGCTCCTGACTTGTTTGATGGGGATCACGGAATTGCTCTGCATGCACTGCAGGGGAATCGGGCCTCATGTCACATCTAGGGGGAAGTCTCATGGTTTTTCTCGAGTTACGGCCGGGATATGCGGTATGTTCTCGAGTGAGGGCGGGGATGGCCCTTCAAATCACATGTTTATTCAGTGACGTCAGGACTCCTGTCTAGTAACGTGGGACAACTCAGGAATCTCTTTGAGGATTGGCAGGGCACAACGGACGCTTCTCGAGGTGAGGAAGGGCTCCCAAGGACCCTTTCCAGTAGCGACAGGGATTTTTGAATTCCTATCAATATTCAAGAAGAGTCAGGCATCGTCACCTTTGAAGCAGTGAACTCTGCGTGCCTCTCGAGGTGTCAACTTGATGTGAGGCATTCCGTCATAATGAGGCAGGGACCTAGGCTTATCTGTAAGGTCTCCGCAGGGGATTCAGACATCCTTTCATATTGGGGGATGAAAGACGAGCCTATATTCAAGCCACTGCAAGGAAACCCGGCCTCCTTTCAAGTTAGGGCTTCTCGCTGTATATCCCACTTGCGGCAGGAAACTCGGGTTCCCTACCACATACCTATTGCTTAAAGAAGCCTCCCCTTGTGGTGCTTCTGGAAAGTTGGGATACGTCTTGAGCCTAAGCCAGGGAATCAGCTCTCATCTCGAGATGATTTGGGGTACACGGAGCATTCGTCGAGTTGCTGTGCGAAAGTTGGTGTTCCTCTAGACTTGGGACAGTGTTCTCGGGGCATCTCTGGAGGTGCCTGAAGGAAGTCAAGCCACTGGTCGTGTTTAATGGGGAACGGCGGATGGCTCTGGGGTCAATGCAGTGGAATCGGGCCTCACCTCGAGTTGATTTGTGGCACATGGAGCTGCTTTGCGTTGAAGGGGTGACCTCAGGGTGCGTCTAGACTTGTGACAGTGTTCTTGGGGACTCTCTCGAGATGCATTAAGCAAGTCGAAGCTCCTGACTTGTTTGATGGGGATCACGGAATTGCTCTGCATGCACTGCAGGGGAATCGGGCCTCATGTCACATCTAGGGGGAAGTCTCATGGTTTTTCTCGAGTTGCGGTTGGGATATGCGGTATGTTCTCGAGTTACGGCGGGGATGGCCTTTCAAAAAACTTGTTTATTCAGTGACGTCAGGACTCCTGTCTAGTAACGTGGGACTGCTCAGG